CTGCAATCCTGAGACTCCCCAAGAACTGTGATTTTGCGCTCCATGGGGAGGCTGTGTGGGTCCTGCTGCCTTTGCAGTGCTGGCTCTGGGCTGTGAGCGGCTTGGGTTTGTAGCTGTGCCAAGTGGAACAGCTCTGTCAGGTGGCAGAGGAAGAGGAAGCGGGTTGGGCTCACACCTCTGGTGTGGAAGCTCTGAGTGGAGATAAGGTGATAAGCTCCCTTGCCGGAGGATATTACCCAGTTCGCCTCTGTGGGCTCAGGTTGTGTTGTTGATAACCACCAGAATCCAATCTCTCTCCCTCTCCTGGTCCCTTGCTAAGGCGGTGCTGTTTGGAAATGTGTCGTGGATAGACTATCAATGCATGCATCATTATTTCTGTCTTTCACCCCCACACGTTTGTGATACCTGCCACCCCAGTAGCTGGCGGTTCTGTAACAGCGTCCAGTATTCATTGCGCCACACTGCTCCTGTCAGCTTCCAGAGACTGTACCCTCTGCTCACACCGGAAGTTGTTTACCCTACCCAGCCGCAGGAGGGCTGGAAAGGAAAAACAGTGTTTCCAGTGTGCCTTGCAAAAATGCCTATCAGATATGAATACCTATCAGACATGCCTGGTAGGGCCCATGATGCTGTTTGTTTTAAAATGATGATGGGTAACGCCGTTAAAAGAATTGTTTTATTCCGGTTGAGGTCTACCTTTCTTAGAAACAAATTCTTCCCTGACATTTTAGTTAGTAAATATCCTCAGTTGCATGAACCACGAGAACAGAACCCTTCAGCCTGCTAGGATCCTCACAGACCCTCATCCATTTTGTTAGCCCACGGTATACGTTATTGAGTCTAGGTCTCAGCTGACCCCCGGCTCAGACACACGCTCCTTCCTTAATTTGGTATTAAAATACCATCATTCAACCGCACAATCCATGGTCGTCTTCTTGCCACCAGTGTATTGTTAACACCCTGGTGGAGAGTCAGGGCCAGAGCTAATCATCTCCAGCAGCTAAGGCACACACAGGGAATGAATTAATATTGACTGAGTTCAAGAGAAGAGTTCTTGTCAATCGAGAAAGACAATGTAGCAGAGGCTTTCTTAGGTTGTTCCTGCAGTAGGTTCTAGAGATGACATTGAGCAGGTTGTGTCTGCATAGCCTTGTCCTTTCTGGGCACAGTGTCCTGGGGAAATCTGCTGAAGCAAGATTGGAGCTCTTAGGAACTGAAAGGTTAGCAGTAAGCAGTTGCTGCAGAGGGGCAGAAAAGATCACCCAAACCCACAACCCTAAACCCCAAACCTTGTGGGTCCAGGTAAGCCCAACAGGGCCAAATGCCCAATGATTAGGTGTTATTACTATCTAATGTTAACAGTTCATGGTGGTACTGTCCTTAACAGTCACGACAAAGCCAACCCCAACTGGGGTTCAGTGCATCAGTTGGAAGGAGGTTGTTTAACAGGGAGAATGGATGAAGTTCTGTAGGTGACGAGGAGGATGGTTCCAGAAGCAACGTTCTGTATGTAAAACAGGCAAGACCTGATGTTTGTGGTTTCGTTTTGTCCCTATGTCCCAGCCTCTGTCTAGACAAGGAGAGTGTTGGGTTCATCCTCTGTCCTAACCAGACATGTTCACTCAGAGGCAAAGGCACAATTCTTGTGGGATTCTGTTTTTAAATCACAAATTTTTTTTCCTCACAAAAATGAGCAGTTAGGTCCCCAGAACCACACAGTTTCAGTAGGGGGCAGTTTGGCAGGGGCTCTTCCCCTAAGAAGCTTGTCCTTTTTGTATATTTCTGTGATATCATCTTTCTGTCATTTTGTAGTTTTGACATGACCTCTCTCTCACTCCTAGCCCTGGCTGGCCTGGTGTTCACAGTGGGCTAGGTTCTGTTATACCAATCAGTGGTCAGGACAATCCCTCATTGTTCTGCCCACAGACCAACCTGATCTAGGCAATCCCTCAGTTTAGGTTTCTCCTTGTCAGGTGACTCTAGACTGCATCAAGTTGGTTGACAGTAGTGCAGGCTGGTGTTAAAGTCGCAGTGATCCTCCTGCCTCAGTTTCCCAAGTTCTGGGATTATAGACAAGCGCCACCACTTCTGGCTATGAAACTCTCCTTCAGTTGTTCCTGGGTTCTTAATAAAAATGAATCATTAAATTGTTTACATTGAATTTCCAGTTCTCTGGGTTGCACATTCTGTTTGGTTGGCAAGATATTTTTGTGGATTCCTCCATTAATGGGATTTATAGTAGAAACTTGGTAAATAATTCATTTTGGTTTTGCTCTTGCTTTTAAAAAAAAATGGGAACCCAGCAGAGCAGACATGGTGCACAGGCTATTTCATTTTGGAATTTTAGCAGTTTGAATGTAATTCATAGAGAAGGAGTTAAAAAGAAATCTTGTAATTGTTGATCACAGTTAGCTCAAATAGCCCTCCCTAAAAGATAATAAGCTTTTGGAGTGATTCCAAATGGCTTCTTTGTTGCTTGTATTTGCAAAACATTTTTCTGCTGCTATGTCCGTATCTTGGAAAACGCTTTAAGAGTTTGCTAGCTACAAGATCAGAATCCATACAAATTGGAAATCAGTGGCTTTTTCTCATCTGTGATTTACTCTGTTCCCATTAAGACTATAACTTTAAAAAAATATGAATCTTAGTTTTCTTTTTTAGTTGGCACAACATTGCAGTTCTAGAAAACAAGCAAGGGAAGGGAACTTGCGGGGCAAAGCAAACATATGGACTTCAAACAAGAAACCCTACATAGAGTTAGCAAATAGCCTAGGGGCCAAATGTAGCTAGAATAAGATACCTATCATCTCCCCTCCGGTTAAGGTTTTCATTGTGAAAGATATCCAACACACAAAAGGAGAGACAGTGGCCTGTGAACACCCACACTGTTGTCAGTGTGGGCACTCCCAACCCTCAACCATCTGGCCCATTCTCTCTTCCCTTCTGTGCCTGGTCAGTTATACTGAAGCAAATCCGAAATTGTGGCTTTGATAAGCTCAACTGGTTTATTTCACATGGTGTCCTTCCATCTTGTAACACTGTCATTTTAAAACTTAACGATGAGGTTCTGTATCCAGCTCTGTCACCCATTAATATCATAGTTTTTACTTAGTCTGGTACTACAGCCCATAGAATGGTGCTCCCCAAATTCAAGATGAGTCTTGCTGCCTCATTTAAAATCCTGTGGAGGTGTCCTTCAGACACACCAACCAGCACGACTCCTCTGGGATTAGAAATCATATCAAGTCACAGAGGATGACTCAGATATTCTAGTCTGACCTCTGTGCCCTCCCAAGAGGCCCTCCTGTGGGAGAGCTCTTCTTTGAGCTCACTTTTCCCATCTTTCAGAAGGTATTGTTTGCATGGTTGTATTGTACAGTCCTTGGAGACAAGGTGTGACCTGTTTCTATTTAATTCCATATGGGTGTCATAAACAAACCAGGTTGCCCATCACTTAAGTGGTAAAAGCAGGTCTTATTTAGTAACTGTTGACAATAAAGGCAAGCTCTGAGTCCATTCTGATTTGTGTGAAGGTATCACCTTTATCTGTTCGCTGGAAGTTACTAAGTTAGAGCCTGCCCGCCCTCCCTCCTCCACACACACCCACTACACTGGAGACAGATGTCTTGGCCTTCCTTGTTGGTTGAAGTTTAAAGCATGGCTCTTAGGTCCTGGAGAATGATAATTCTGGGTGTGTTTGCTTCTTTGTTTGTTTAATAAAGCATTTGTGTATGTGTGTGTGCGCATGTGTGCGTGCATGCGTATGTGTGTGCACGTGTGTGTTTGTGTGTGTGTGCATATGTGCATGTGTGTGTGCGTGCCTGTGGATATAGGAATAAATGTGTTTGGAGGCCACAGGACACCTTCTACATAAGAAACATTGTCCACCTCCATTGAGATGGGGTCTCTCACTGGCCTAGAACTCGCTAAGTAGGTTTTGCTAGCTGCCCACAGAACTCTGGGGATTTTCCTGTTTCCACCTGGCCAGCATTGGTGTTACAGGAGCTTGTTACCATGCCTGGCTTTTTAAAGTAAATTCGGGGGATCCAGTTTGGGTCTTCATGCTTGTGTGCCAAGGACTCTGCCTGCTAAGCTGTTTTTTTTTTTTCTCCAATTTTAAGGTACACTCAAACACAATCCTAAACCCCTTTATAAACAGTCAACAGGGATGCTTAGAGAGGCTGTCAGGTGTTGACTAGAACAAAGAACAAATTCTCTCCTCAGCCAACCAGTTACTCAGGCAAGCATTTTAATGGAGATTGGGGTGTTCAGATCCTCTCAGCATGGGGCTTTTTGTAACTAGAAGCCCTGTGGCAGCTGCTAACCTCCTAGTGCAAAGGTTTGGAGTCCTGAGAGCCCCGAAGTTTTCTAGAACCTTGGATGCTGCCTAATGACTGTGCAGGCTCAGTGGATTTGGGTGAACTCACCTTCCTCTAACCCCGAAGAAGACACCTTAGAGCCTTGTCCTAGGCAGGAAGTGGGGATAAGAACCCACCCACTGTCTTCCTGCTCCCATGTCCCCTATCCTACCAACTGTGAATAAGAGATTTAATCACCCTACCACAAATACTTTACTTTCTAAAACAGTGTGACCTGGATCAATCTGCTATCAAGATGTATTGTAAGATTCTGGACAATAACTAGATGAGACGTTCTAAGAGGCAGGGTTTCCCACAAAGCAAGCGTGTGTTTGCCACTTGCCTTCATCAGGGTTTCCTTCATGGCATTTACCCTATGTTTTATGCATTTACTTGTGTGATAAATTTAATTAACTTCCAGAGGAACTATGCCTTATTTGCTTTCTGTTGAAGTCAGCACCCAACGCGGTGGGTAGAAACTGTGAGGTAAGTTCCCAGGTGATTAATGTAACAGTTTGGTGTCTTTCCCTGTCTTCCTCTACCACAAACAATGACAGAGCAGACATGCTATTTCCTAGGACTGTGGTGAGCAGGTGTTTGCAAGATGTGGGACGTTGTATTTCACAACTGTTCTCTTCATAGGTTCCTTACCTATTCCTACCTCCTGGCCTTCAATGTGTGGCTTCTGCTGGCACCCATCACCTTGTGCTATGACTGGCAAGTGGGCAGTATTCCTCTGGTGGAGACCGTATGGGACGTGAGGAACCTTGCTACCATCCTGCTGGCAGTGGTGATGGCCTTACTGAGCCTGCACTGCATGGCGGCCTTCAAGGTAATCTCATGCTGAAAACAGACCATCTCAGTCATGGCCACTCCTTCCTGTAGTGGGGGTCTGGGTCAAAATCACATGTTACTTGCTCACAGAACTTTGTCAATTAAGTTTTCCCAATAGGTAATACATATTAAAAAGTCTTTAGCAGGGTTAATAGACCATGCCTGTCTTAATTTTATCATATGTTTATTTAAAGGATTTGTTTTTATTTATGTGTATATATATGTGTCTATGTGGGCATGCCACGTGTGTCTATGTATGTCGTGTGTATATGTATGTGTCTCTACGTGGGTATGCCACATGTGTATAGATGCCTGTGGTGGCCAGAAAAAGGTGTCAGATCCCCCGGAGCTGGAGTTACAGGCAGTTGTGAGCTAGCTGACAGGGTGCTGGGAACCAACAGAATAACATTTTTTCTTAGCCACTGAGCCATATTTCCAGCTCTGTATAATTTCTTTGATTATGTCTAGATACTTTGTAAAAATAAAATTTTCCTCCTGGTATGGTTGGCTAATATTTGAAGGAATTTATTTGATATAATGTCATAATAAATGAAATCTTAATAAATAATATACTTACAAATGTTTAAGGTATGATCAGACTCCATATCCACTTCATTATATTAAATTTGATGGTTTCTTCTCCAGTCAGAAAAAAATACAAAACTAAACGAAATTATTGAGCTCAATCATTTAAAGGATAGAAAAGGTAGAAGAAACTAGAAAATATTGATTGATGGGAAATTGCCACTACCTTGACGAAATACTTCTCACCTGGGTTATTCTCATCCTCCCAGACTTGGTGATAAAAATTCACAAGGCTCCTGGCTGGAAGTAGCTGATTGAATTGTGGAGAAAAGCAGTAACAGCTATAATTTTTGTTTGTTCAGTGTTTTGAGACCGAGACTCCCATAGTTCAGGCTGACCTTGAACTCCATTTGTGTCTGCAGATGACCTTGAGCTCTTGATCCCCCCCCACCCCCTCCTAAATCCTAAATCCTGGGATTACAGGCAAGTGTTACAGGCCTGGCCGGCAGTTAGGATTTAAGGAGGAAGTTGTGTAAGTGAGGAAGCTGCAGATTGCTGCCCCAAAGCCTCTCCCCGTCTTATGATGACAGCTAGGCCATTATATGTGGATGTGAAACTCTGTGGAGCACGAGACTTGTTTGGGGCAAGTCTGAAAGTATTCTTTCCACGCACGCAGGTTCAGCAGCGGAGGGCAGACATTCACTAGTGGGAGTTATCTCTATATAATTTTGTTCAAATCATTGGCTGCCACAAAACCAGCCAGGCACAGCAGAGATACCCAGAGATCCACACAGAAACCAAAACCAAAACAAAGAAACAAAAGCAACAATTTTAAAATTCTGACCAAAACTCTCAGTATTCTCGGGAAATACAGGACTGGGAGATGACTCAGGTGTCACGGTGCCTTCAGTGAAAATGTGAGTACAGAGCTTGGATTCCAGGGTGGATGTGGCATGCGTCTGTTGTATTGGCACCAGGGAAGTGGAGACAGGAGCATTCCTGGGTTTGCTGGCCAGACATTCCAGCCAGTCAGCCAGTGACATATGCTTCCCCTCTCTTCGGCATATTGTGGATTCACGGAATAGCTTCATTGTTAACTTCCTGCAGACCGTCCCTTCCCGTGCACTGGCTGCCCTGTCTTATGTTCCCAGCAGAGGTTCTGTAGAGCTGATGCTGTCTCCTGCTTCAGTGTTGGGTCTCCCTCGTTCTCCTCTTTCTCCTCCTCCTCCTCCCCCTCCTCCTCCTCCCTCTCCTCCTCCTCCCTTTCCCCCCTCCTCCCTTTCCCCCCCTCCTCCTCCTCTTCCTCCTCCTCCTCACTGCTGCTTTCCCTCCTCGTCTTTTCTCCTCTCCCCATCTTCCCTTTCCTCCTCCTCTTCCTTCTCCTCTGTACTTGTATTCTCCAGGGAGACATTCAAGCTTCTGTGACAGAATGTGGAGAACAGTCTAGAATTTTTCATCGTTGGCTCAAGTTCTTTCTAACAACAAAATTTAAAGTAAAATCATTTTTTAATAATAAAATGTAAAGTTATTAGTTTGCTCTCACACAGTGAGTTGGTTTCGCTGAAGGTATGTCTGTACTGCAGAGAGGAAGACTAGGCCATCCATGAAAGAATTTACCCCAGGAGACTTGTGGGATAAACATGCCCTGGGGCTTGTCTTTATGACTTGTACAAACTTTACAACCTTAGGAAAGCACCCCGTGTTTAGGGAGCTTCTTCCCACTGGGTCTCCTCTTAATAACTTCCTTCCTATGACCACTCCCCTAAAATAGTCCTGTGAGTGATGGGAAATGCTGCCCAGTGGTTTTCAGGAGTAATGAGTTTGATTTTAAGGACTGTAGCCTTGCAGAATCGCTATAGAATAAAAATTGGGTAAAAAGAGGGCAAGGAAAGGTGGTCACCTGACTTGGCTGATGGCCCACAGTGACAAAGATGGGTCATGAAGTAGAGGTCCCACCTTCTGCTCCTCCTCTGAGCATGGGCCTCTGAAGGTTTTATTTTTCTTTTCTGTCAGAGGTCAGAGGTTTGTGCCTGTCTGTGTTTCTACCCCAGTCTCGGGATGGTTTCCTGAAGATGAGGACAAGTCACTGACTGCAGCTCTGAGACCTGGGAAGCAAGCCTCGTCCTCGGGCGCATAGGGAGGGGATGCTGGAGCTGGAGCATTGCAACAGTAGGGGCTTGAGGGGGCCTCCGGTGGGAAGGAAGCCACTGCACCCCCTCCCCTGAAGAGGCAGCTGCCTTTAGTATCAGTTCCCAGCCTTGCTTTGCTTCTCGCTAGTCCTCATCACAATCCTCATCTCTCTACTCCTCCAAGAGTAGGCACCGGGGGTGCGGAGAGTCCCCCCTCACGTCTCTAAGTAGGGTCCCATATTCTCAAGGAGGCAGGACTGGAGGAAGAGCAACCGTTGGAAAGGGTTATCTGTGCCTTGACATCCCCAGCCTCATTGAGAATAGGAATCAGAGCAGTCAAGTGGACACCCCCACCCCCACAGACAGACAGACAGACAGACAGACCAAAGAAGGCACACCTTGCTGTTGCTTTTTCCTGTTTTAAAGAACAAGACATCTGAAGCTTTGCCACCCATGTGATCTGCCACAGCTCTATCCTTGAAACAGAAATTAGCCAACCCCGCGGCACAAAATTATTCTATTGTAGAGTCATACAGTCGAACTAGACATGACTCCAGATTACTAGGAATTATTTTGCGTTCTGCTCATTCAGATAATAGGCTATCATATTATTATGACACGTGGATCACCGGGTTATAAAATGCCCCTTACAAACCTGATGAGATAAACATTGTGTTTCAATACAGTGGATATTAAAATAGCAGTGAGCCTGGAGGATGAAGACGGCATTTAATAGCTAGCGGCCTGCGCCCACGCTGCCTTTCCCTTCCCTTCTGCTGGCGTGTCTCCATTCCGTTCCCATTCTCCACGCACCGCACTTCCCCACTCACTTTTCCTCAGCTCACAGACATTCTTCTCACGGGATGACAGGGACTCCGTCTTTCCTAGCTCGCCTCAGGCCTTCTGGGTGGTGCGTTTGGGCACCTTGGCAGTCGAGGCTCCAGACTGTGTTGCCAAGGTCCTGTGTACGAGGTCAGTTCCAAAGCAGGCTCAGCCAGGGCAGTCTTCCAGCCCCTCTGTCTCACTATCTCCTCCTTCTGCCACCTTGTTAACCGTGGCCACACTGATCCCAGGCCTCAGTCTTCTACCCCGGTGATCTTTCCTGTTTGCCCTAGACCAGTACTACAGAACTGGACTTTCACCTGTAACCCTTCCCCTCAGACAGGCGTGGTAAAGATGTGGTGTAGCTCCTCTTCTGTGATTCTGATTTCATATGGTAATCACGCTTTAAACTCATGGCCACATACCTCATGTGAAGCCCCCTCCTCTGTGCTGGAGGTGTAAGAGGAGCCACCCCAAGTCCTTGGAGGAGGAGAGGAGGAGAGGCCAAGGTGAATGGTGAGCTCTGCTGCTCACCTGTGTCTGTCCCCTCCCCTCCTGCACCCTGCTGTGAGGTCAGACCAGGGCACCCTGTGCCTTCTCACACAGCCCTCACAGGGGACACCCAATATATCCAACTGTTTGCAGAGTCTGCTCATTGTCATGGTCACTATCATCCTGAAAATGTCAGCACAACTCCAGGAATACAAAAGGGATCCTGGGTATAAACAGCAGAGTCGACACAAAGAAAGCCACTGGCTGCTTCTTATGTCTCTGTCACTCAAGACCAAGACTTGTCCAAACAGTCAGAATGTATATGAAGTTATTTTTATTTATGTGCATCAACCCTCTACCTCACCCTTATCCAGTCTCCCTTCATCCCCAGTGACAGGGAACATCTGCCTGCTCACCTGGGCCAGATCAGGGGGCAGAGATGGGGCAGGGAGATTAGCCAAGGGCCTCCACCCAGCCACCCCACTTCCTCCAGCTGGACTCTGCCTCCTAAAGCGTCAGCCTCCCGGAATAGCTGGGTTCAAACGCCTGAACCTGTGGATGACAGTCCTAATTCAAATCATAAAACAGACACCACCACAGAAATAGGCAGAGTTTGTGTGTTTAGGTGTCACAGAAGGGCGGGAGCGAAATCACTAGTTTAACTGTATGAGGGGGCACGGTAAAGAAACTGCCGACATGACCTTCCCGGCACGGTTAAGGGAAAGGTTTCTGCTGTGCATAAGAGAGAGAAAGTATCAAGAGGCATCTGGAAGAGTCCAGAGCAAAGAGAAAAGGAAGCAGACTGGGCATGAAAGCCACAGAGAAACCGAGAAAGGAAAAACCAAAAGAGAGAGAGAGAGAGAGAGAGAGAGAGAGAGAGAGAGAGAGAGAGAGAGAGAGAGAGAGAGAACAGTGTGTATAGTCAGGGTTTAAGGAGAGCCGGATCTAAGGTGAGAAGGAAGGGCCAGGATGAGATCACAGGCTTTGTGAGTAGGAGCTGAGGAAGCCAGAGGCCAGCATGGACTTTGAT